AAAGGGTGTGTAAGACTGGGAAGCTGTTTGGGGCCATAATGGGGTGGGGTATACTAGGAATCGCTCCTTCCTGGTGAGCAATTGTGTATCACTGAAGACTTCAGACACAGACGCTGACATGCCTCCATTTCTGCAGTAAATTTCCCGCCCAGAAATCTTTGGCAACCCGTAATTACTTTGAAAAACTTACTTCTTGCCTTCTGTTTGATTTGGTCTCCTTTCTTAACACAGAGCCTCAGATCCCGAGTCGAGTCGAGACTCTTCTTGGTTTTGAACCTCAGCATTCACGCTCACATCTCACCCTGACCACTGTGTTAGCTGTGCCCCACAAATTCTGATCGGTGGTAAGTTCACATAGTTCAAGGGATTTTCTAATTTCCCTTGAGAATTATTCTTTTACCCATGGATTATTCAGGAGTGTGTAACTTAATGTCTAAGAGAAGGTGATTTTCATGTTACTGTCTCCTAGTTTAATTTCACTGAGTCCAGAGGACGCGTTTGTATGGTTTCAAGTCCTTTGAGCTGGTGAATAGTGTCTCAAAGGACAGGACAGGACAGGACAGGACAGGACAGGACAGGGCCTGTCTCGGTGAATGTTGCATCTGCACTTGAGAAGAATGTGTATTTGCTGTTGTCGGGTGAAGTGCTCCATAAATGTCAATTAGATCCAGATGCTTTATCATGTTGGTTCTTCTATCTCCTTGCTAGTTTTCCATCTCTGTTGCTGAGAAGAGGGGAGTGACGTCTCCAGCTGTAGTTGTAGGTTTCTCTATTTCTCTTTCAGTATGGCAGTTTCTGTCTGCTTCCTGCCTCAGGAAGCTCTGTAGTTATGTGTATAGATGTTTACTAGTGTTGTGTCTTCTTGGTGAACTGACTTCTTTATGTACTTATTGTCTCTCTTTATCTTTGATAGGTTTTTATTGTTCTGAAATCTACCTTGTCTGATAGTAAAATAGCCAGACTAGGAATGAATAAACAGAGTCACTGTACCAAAAAGATGTCGTCGATGTTCAACCATTTCAAGAGGTAGCACATGATCAATAGCCAACGGTCCTGAAGAAAGAAGTCCAAGGTGCGCTGAAGGCATTGGTGAAGAACAAGGCTCCGGGAATTGATGGAATACAAATTGAAATCTTTCAACAAACTGATGCAGCACTGGAGACACTCACTCATCTATGTCAAGAGATTGGAAAGACAGCTACCGGCCACCTGATTGGAAGAGATCCATGTTTGTACCCATTCCTAAGAGAGGTGATGCGATGGAATGCTGAAAAATTCAAACAATATCATGAATACCACATGTCAGTAACATTTTGCTGAAGATATTTAAACAGCTGCAACCGCACATTGACAGGGAACTGTCAGAGAGGTTCAAGCTGGATTCAGAAGAGGACGTTGAATGAAGAATATCATTGCTGATGTCTGATGGATCTTGGCTGAAAGCAGAGGATACCGGAAAGATATTTACCTGTGCTTTATTGACTATGGGAAGGCTTTTGATTATACAGATCATGATAAGTTATGGATACCATTGTGAAAAAGGGATATTCCAGAACACTTGATTGTGCTCGTGAGGACACCATACATAGACCAAGAGAGTGTTGTTCAACCACGAACAAGGGGACAAACTGTGTACCAGGGACATATCCTTTCACCAATACTTATTCAGTCTGTGTGCTGAATAAATAATCCGAGTTGTTGTTATTATATGCAGTCAAATCAATTCTAAATCATAGTAACCCTGCATAGGGTTTCCAAGGAACAGCTGCTGGGTTGAAACTGCTGACCTTGTGGTTTACAGTCTACTGCTGATCCTACAGTGCCACACCAGGAGTCTGAGATGCTGGATCATATGAAGAAGAACATGGCATCAGGATTGGAAGAAGATTCATTAACAACCTATGATATGTAGATGATACAACCTTGCGTGCTGAAAGTGAAGAGGGGAAAGATTGAAGTTGTCAAAGACTTCATTTGGCTTGGACCTACTGTCAATGCTCACGGAAGCAGCAATCAAGAAATCAAACAACATATTGCATTAGGCAAATCTGCTACACAAGACCTTTTTAAAGAGTTGAAGAGCAAAGATGTCAGGTTGAGGACTAAGGTGCGCCTGACCCAAGCCATGGTATTTTCAATAACCTCTTATGGATGCGAAAGCTGGACAGTGAATAAGGAAGACCATAGAAGAATTGATGCTTTTGAGTTGTGGTGTTGGAGGAGAATACTGAAAGTGCCATGGGCTGCCAAAAGAACCAAGAGATCTGTGTTGGAAGAAGTGCAGCCAGAGTGCTCCTTGGAGGCCAGGATGATAAGCGTTTCTCTTACTTCAGATGTATTTTCAGGTAAGACCAGTCCCTGAAGAAGGGACTGGGTAAAGTGCAGGGTCAGCTAAAAAGAGGAAGACCCCAAACAAGATGGGTTGGCACAGCGGCAGCAAAAATGGGCTCAAGTGTACCAACTGTTGTGAGGATGGCACAGGACCGGCGGTATTTGATTCTGTTGTGTGTAAGGTAGGAACGGATTTGACAGCACCAAACAACGACAACAACAACCTTTCTTCTCATTAGTGTTTCCATAGTCCACCTTTTACCTTTCTCTTCCTTTTTACTTGCCTGAGTCTTGGTGTGGTGCTGTAGGATAAGCACTGGACTCCTAACCTCAAGATTGGCAGTTCAAACCCACCGGCTGCTCCTCAGAAACCCTATCAGGGTCACTATGAGTCAGAACCGACTCGATGGCACTCAACAACAACAGTAGTAGCCCACGATGGAGGGTAATCACATTAGATCTCAAAATGGAGGACACCAGATCCTTGCCTACCCAGTGTGCTGGGATTGAACTGAGTGGCTCTCCTTAACTGGGGAGCAGCCAGAAATCCCTCAGCCTTGGAGGAGGCAGCGGCAGTGAACGTACCCAGCCATCTGCATAGTGCTTCTTGAGCTAAGACCTGCCCCTGACCGTCCAGGGGCCCAAGGGGGACTGGGAAATGAGTGACACACAGACACACAGAGATAACGGTTGTAAATTCATTTTCCCACGGTGGCACAGCTCCAGGTGACAGGAGAAAGGTCACTATTGCAGTCACACCTGCACCTGGGGTTCACAGGTCTTTCCCGTGAGGGGACAGTCCTGGAGGGTGGGCAGGAGGGCTGGCGGCAGCCCACCGCTGACCCGGGCTAGGGGAAGTGTAGGTTCCACCTTCATTTTCAACATCACAGTCCCTGTTTGCACACAGATGGGGCCATCTTCTTTCCCTATTCAGGACTCTCTTCCCATTTAAGGTCAGGATTATGGTGGGGTCACACCAGCTAAGGTTTACTGAGTGCCATATGTCACTTCATAGTCACGACCCTCTCTAGCATTTTCCCTTTGTGAAAAATCGGCGCCCAGAGTCTTCTATGTACCATCTCATGTGTCACAACCCAGGTGAGGAGGAACGTGACCCCCGTGGATAGGTGAGAGATTTGAAACACACACAGACTAAGCCCTTGCCCAAGGTGGCAGTTGTTGTTAAGTGTGGTTGACTTGACCCCGATCCATGACCATGCCGTGTGGCAGGGCAGAGCTTCCTCACAGGGGGACCTTGCTTGGGAGCCGATTGCTAAGTTTGTTTGCCGAGCCCCTGGGGAATTCCAGCTGCTGAGCTCTCAGTTTTCAGCTATCAGAGTTCCGTATGCAGAGGTTGTTGTGTCGTGGAGTTGGTTCTGACTCACAGCAACCCTGTATAGGGTTACTGCTGAGCGGCTGGTAGGTCTGAACCACTGGTCCAGCGTTCATCTCACAGTACCACATGGGGTAAATCACAAGCAATGATAGCTGTGGTAGTGATCATGGTTTAGGTATACTTTATTTTTGGCATCTTTGTGTGCACATGCCTTTGGAAGAAATCAAACCATTCTTTAGGTCTTGAGTATACTGAGGCACAGGCTGGTTTAGTTCTGACCCAGGAGGTGTGCAGAGTGGGGGAGGTTTGAGGTGTGGGGCAGTTACACAGGACTGGTAGACACTAGTGTGACTCATAGTGACCCTGTGTACAACAGGACAAAACACTGCCTAGTCCTGCAGTCCAAGTTCAAGTTCTTTTCTGTGGCGTCGCTTGTCCTCGCTGTCCCTCCCCTTCCCCATACACAAGGCCCTCCTCCAGGGAGCAGTCCGAACAAGTGAGGCAGACAGTGTCCTGTAGTGATTCGTTTTCACTGGTGGATCGTCAGAAGCCGATCACCACGTCTTTCTCCTTCTTGGTCTGGAAGCTCTGCAGAAACACACCATTCATTAAACCCTGAAAGAGTTAAAGAGAAAAATGTGGCCGGCTAGATGGGTGTGGTCCCATAGTTCCCCCCATCCTCACATCACCTATTGGGTCCTCCAGGCTGAGAAGAGTCCCACCAACTGGGAGCTGAGGGCTTGTTTCAGCTTCTGTGCTGGAAGAAACCACCAGGGTCCCTGGTCTGCTTGTGAACCAGCCCGTGTCTGCCTGGTCTCAGGGTCCTGGCATAGAACAAACAGAACAGAGCAAAGTTTGAGGAGAGAGCCTTACATCAGTGGCTGCTCCCACCCAGAGCTGGGCGGAGGCTCAGGCGGGACCCATCCTGGGCTTTAGGGGAAGTGGATGGCCCCAGCAGGCGGGCTGCCAGAGCCTGCTTGTCCCCAAGCCAGAGCGGCTGCGGCAGCCCCTACAGGGACAAACAGACTCTAGAAGGACAGCCTGAACAGCCGGCCAGCTCCGGTCAGAACCTCCTGCTTCCTCTCGGATGTGTCTCCAGGGCTCCTCTGAGCTAGACCTCTGCACTGCATCCCCGCTGCCCCTGCCTCCAAGGCGTGCGTACTGATCACTAGGGAGAGAGGTACCCACTAGCCCACAAGACTTTACAGAAAGGGACTTTGATCCCCGGAATCTGTGGAGATGGCCCCTGGCCCAGGACAGAACCCTTAGTGAGGCTGTGTGGTCACAGACGGACTTCAGGAATCTCCTGTGTCCCTCCTAAGGTCCGGGGACCATGCGGCTGCTGCCCCCCTGGCCCACCTGGCCCACCTGGCCCACCTGGCTGCTGATCTTTTACGCCACTTCTCAGGTAAGTTTCCAAGGTGACTGTCTAGATGGGGCTGTGTGTCTGCCAGGAGAGTGCCAGCTGTGTCTTACTATGTGATGTTCTGTGTGCAGGTACACCAAGCCTATGCCAGGTCCCGAAACCATCCAGGTAAGCATTTTCCTGTTGCTTTTCTTCCTGCAAGGGGGCTGCGCTGGCTGCTTGTTCATCTTGAGCAGGGGCACAGACCCTGTTCTGGGGCCCTCTGTGGGGGCCGGTATGGCTCAGGGTTAGGAGCAGGAGCTGAAAGGCTGCAGGTGGGACACCAGGAACCTGCTGCCATGCTTCTGGTGGAGATCCAGGAGAGGCCCAGACAGGCCTGCTAAAGCCGTGACTCAGCCCCAGGGGATTGGGCCCCCTACCCACCCGGGGGGACCCGCCTCTTAGGACTAGAGGCAACCTGAGAAAGGCGCGTCGGTGGGATCCAGGCCCCATCCCTGACTGTGTGGTCAGACCTGGTGCTTTGGGGGACTTCCTGCCCACTGTCGCTGCCTCAGTTTACCCCTTTCATCTACATTTCCAAGAAGCAACTTAATCTGTTAAAAAAGTTGTGAATGCCATAAATGCCAACTCAACCCAACCCAGGAGCCCTGTGGTGGGAATAACAGAAACACACCCAGGCCTGTGAGGCCCACCCAGTGCTGCCCTTGGGGTCTCTACAGTTCTCTAGGGGAATAGAAAAATGGGGTACCGTGGCAGCTGGCTTCCTGCACAGCCCTACCTGAGGGGGCCTCCGGATAAGGCCACACCTAGCCTTACCACCAACTCTGAGGTGTAGGGCCTTTGCTCCCGACATTCTGATCCAGAGCGGAACACACTTCTCAGCTGCCTTGGAGAAGCCACCATGGCATGTCATGTGTAATGACAGACCTGTGACAGGAAAGCCCCACACGGAGCCCAGCCCGGCCCCCAGGGTCCCCTTCTTACTTAACCCTCCCCTGCTTCCCCACAACCCAACTGGCTTTTTAACCCTTTCATTTCCTTCTTTTCCTCCCCACTCCCCTTCTTTTTTTTGGCACCATGAGAAAAGCTAACCTTTATTGAAAGCTGGGGTGTTTTCTCCTGGAATGAAACCATACCCACCTATCCCATGTGTCACGCCCCACAGGGGTTTCAGTGGCTTGTTTTCCTGAAGTAGGTTGACAGGTCTTTCTTCCTGGGCACCCATGGGTGGATTTGAACCTCCAAACTTTCGGACAGCAGCTGAGTGTGTTAACCCTCTGCACCACCCACAGGCTTAGTCTTGCAAGGGGGTGGGTCCCCCAAATGAAGCTGGAACACTGGTCTTCTGAAGGCCAGACTGCATTCCTCCCCAATCACATCAATTTTCCTGTTTTTAGGACTTGCATTTAACAACAAGGACTAAGGGTGTCGGTGAAGTGCTGGGCGCTAAGCAGAGTCAGCCACTAGTGTCTTCGTGGGGGAAAGATGTGGTTGTGTATGTCCTTAAAGATTGTTGTGGTTAAGTGCCATCAAGTCAGTCCCGACTCATAGCGACCCTGTACAGAGTTTGTGAGGCTGTAAATCTATGCGGGAGCAGATGCCTCATCTTTCTCTCATAAAGATTGTTGTTGTTGTTGTTAAGTGCCATCAAATTGGTTCCAACTCATAGTGACCCTGTATGCAGTTTCTGAGGAGCAGCTGGCAGGTTTGAACTGCCGACCTTGTGGTCCGCAGTCCAGTGTTTACCCTATAGCGTCACATCAGGAGTCTCTCATAAAGATGACAGCCTAGGAAACCCTGTGGGCAGTTCTATTCTATCCTACAGGGTCGTTAGGAGTCAGAATTGACTTGGACACCACCACCATCAACAACACTATTAGACTTTTTGGGTTTTCTCGCTGGACCACCCAGTGCTAGGTGGCCAGATGAGCTTTCGCTGGGGAGTCTGCTAGCTGTCCCTCTCAGGTTACTGTCTGCCTCACTTTGGCTCCCAGGTGGGTGGCATTCCTGGCTGGTCCACCTGTGCAAGCCCAGGAAGCCAGGTGTCCGCCAGCTCATCCTTGTGTCTACCACGCTTATAGTCTTGCAGCCGTGTAACTAACTGAGAAACAACTCCGTGTTCTGTATGTTTGCCTGTGGCAGTCGACTGTCAGCCATGAGACGTTACAGAACATTGCAGCTGGAAGGGACACCAGTCACTTTTGTGTAGTTGAGGAAGATGAGGCTGGCAGAGCCCGACCTGACCCGCCCCTCGGCCCAGGCCGCCCACGGAGACCACAGCGAAGCACTGACAGTTGATGAATCTAAATCCATAAATGGCGTCAGCCAAGAAATTGCAGGCAATATATATAAATTTTAAATTTATGACCTGTCCTTTTGTAGATAACTTTTAAAAAGAGGAACTGAGAACTTTAAAAAGTAACCTGTCATTTTCCAGAGCTCTGCTGGTCCTGGGCCAGGGCGGTCAAGTCCTCCCCAAGAGGACAGGAAGCTGGCCCCCGCCCGATTTAGACATGGGAAGGCCAAGCAGGTAGCAGTGTCCTCACAGTTCCACTCTGGCCTCCAGTTACATGTTCATGAAGGCCATGCATAGCCACCTGGCAAGGGCAAATCTGCATCTTCCTCCAACTCACAGCGACCCTGTGGAAGGTTTCCAAGGGCTTGGTGGGTTTGAACCGCCGACCTTGTGGTTAAAAACTGACCTTGTGGTCCAGTGCCACACCAGGACCCCACTGGGGTTGTACCAAAACCCATGTTGTTGTTGTTGTTGTTGTTGTTGTTAGGTGCCATCTAGTCAGCTCTGACTCCTAGCAAGCTCACGCACAACAGAATGAAAACTTGCCAGTCCAACACCGTCATGATGGCACTCCATCCCACTGGGGGGGCCTCCTCTTTCTCACTGACCCTCCACTTTACCTAGCATGATGTCCTTCTCCAGGGACTGGTCCCTTCTGATGACACGTCCAAAATACATGCATCAGACAAAGTCTGGCCATCCTGACCTCTAAGCAGCATTCTGACACAGATTTGTTCATTCTTCCGGCGGTCCATCACATAGTCAATATTATTCACCAACCCCTGAATTCAAATAATAATTCTTTACTCATTATCTAGTTTCTGCATGCGTATGAGGTGACTGAAAATACCAACTTTTGGATCAGGCCCAACTTAGTTCACAAAATCCACATTATGTTAAAAAAAAAAAAAATCCCCCTTGATTTCAGTCTTCCATTACTGAAAATGCATGATATCAACAAAGTATTCAGAGCAGAAAATAATTTGGTCATGAAAGCCTTAAAACATGAATTTCTCATGGGATTTTGAACAAACAAATCTATCTTGAAGAAGTTTAGCCAGAATGCTGCTTAGAAAGGAGAGAAGTGAGTCTTGTCTCAGGTACCTTGGCCATGTTGTCAGGAAGGACCAGTCCCTGGAGAAGGACACCTTACACACATCTATATTTATACACACATACACATTCACCCACGTAACCCAAACAAACCAGAACCCACTACCTCAAGTCGATTCTGATTCATAGCGACAAGATAGATCGGAATCCAACAGCACTGAAGCAGAGGGTCGGTGGTGAAGAGGAAGACCAAGACAAGAAGGGTTGGCAAAGCCGCAGCAGTAGTGGGCTCAAACATAATAACAACTGGGAGAATGAAACAGGACCCAGAAGTGTTTCGTTCTGTTGTGTACAGGTTACTATGTGTCGGAAATGATTCAAAGGTATCAAACCTACTGCTACTATGTGGACTTTTAAAATACAATGTTAATACCCTATGGAACAAAAAGAGATTTGACTAACACAGATATTTTGGGCACCAGAATTGGGAATATGTTCTCTGCTCACTCACTCATCTAGTCATTGTTGAAATCATCATTTATTCTACATGTGAAATCATTAATTTTTGATAAATCACTAACATTAAAACTTAGGGCAATTCAAAACGCTGAAGTCTGGATTTGTGATTTTATATATATGTATTGTGGGATAAGCATTGAGGTGCAGACCACAAGGTCGGCAGTCCAAACCTACCAGACGCTCCTCAGAAACTCTATACAGGGTCATTGTGAGTCAGAACCGACTCCACGGCACTTCTCACCACATGTGTGTGTAAAGGAACCCTGGTGGCACGGTGGGTTATGTATACACTGGGCTGCCAACCAATAGGTCAGCAGTTCATACCCACCATCTGCTGCATGGGAGAAAGAGTGGCTGTCTGTCCCCATAAAGATGGTTGTTGTTGTGAAGTGTCCTTGAGTCGGTTCCAACTCCTAGAAACCCTGTATAGGGTTTCCAAGGAGCAGCTAGCGAGCTTGAACCGCCGACCTTGCAGTCTAGCCCATTAACCGCCAGCGCCACAAAGACTACAGCTGTGGAAATCTTAGAGTTCTCTTCTGTTGGGTCACTACGAGTCAGATTCAACTTGACGTGGGTTTTGGTTTGGGTTATGTGTGTGTAAATATGTATGTATATGTGAATACATGTGTGTGTTTAAATATAGACATTATATGCGTATACAAAGGGGTATGTATGTGAATGTATGGATAACCGATCACACACATTTACATATACATATATGTGGCACTGTGGTTTAATGCGCCGGATTGCAAAGTCATTTGAACCAAAATGTCGGTGGTTAAAGCTCACCAGCTGCTCCTTGGAAATCCTATACAGGGTTGCTATGGGTCAGAATCGACTC